AGTATGAAACAAGCACATTTAAACATTAGAAAATAAAAGTCTTTGTTGAATATGAGAAATTATAAAATAAAAGCCTCCCTGGAATGAATGTGACATTATTAAACTACAGTCTGTCTTCAAACTAGAACAGGAAACAAACTTTCAAAATAAAAGTCTGAGATAAATAAACAAGATCCAGAAAAATCTGCCTTTAAAGTCCTGAATGAAGGAATTCATCGAGGTTTTCCAAACTAAACACAAGACGCTGATAAATGTGGATCTGATGGACCAAAGAGACTCACAACAGGTCAAACAGGACAACTGTCTCCATCAAACGTCTCATCTGATGCCAGAAAATAAAAAAGAATAAATCTCTCATCCTCGCTGCAGAAAGACACRAACATCTGTCGTCTTTTCCACCAAAAACCACAAATCTTCTCTGAGCAGAACTTCTCCACCGACAGGGTTCTGCTCAGAGACCTCCTCAGACCCTCGAGCTGCCGTCACTTTGGATCTGGATCCATGAAACCCCTCAMAGACGTGTGCAAACTCTGCAGCGAGGCTTCACGCACACACAGACCTTTAATGAGTCAAACCCAGCCCAGAACCTCCAAACTGAACCCCTCAGAGACTCTTACCTCGCTGAGGATCACCCAGACCGGAGAGTCCGTGATCACCGACAGACGCATGGCCTCCAGGGGTCCGAAGGACGGGTCCACCTCGCCTTCTGCGATCCCGTTCTGGAACTTTCCTKAAAGCAATCAAAAAAACAACAGAGTCAACAAACGACCTGAGAGGAGGCGRCGCCTCGAGATCTAAACGTGCTGCTTTAAAGCTAAAAACAGAAAAGRGTTTAAGAAGCTAAAAGTAGCCAAGATGTAGCTAAAAGCTAAATGTAGCGTAGCAGACACATTTCTACAGGAAACGTTTAGAAAATGATAAAAATCCACTCAGCGCTGACGGCTGGCAGGTGATGTGCATTCCTTCAAAATAAAAGTCTGTTTCTGCTGCGACTCAGAGCTCTGATGTGAGATCAGTTCAGTTCATGCTTTTTAAAAGGATTTGAGGTTAAATTTTTATTATTCATGTCTTGATGGAACCTGAAGTAATTCGAGGATTCCTCTGCTTTCAGCGCAGATTAACGGGGATTATCTGGTTATTAAGAGCCGTTTCATTCATCCCACGTCCATTAGGTGACCCCTGTGGTCCGGTTTCCTCCTGGGTTTCATCAGAACCCACCCGGCATCTGGCTTCGGCTGCTTTCAGGGTGACTGCACCTCTCCGAGGCGGTAATCTCTGGCAGGATTTATTCTCTGGGATTATGGGAGCAGCTGCGATGCTTCCAGGTACAGCTGTAATCCCAACAAAGAGCCGGCGTTATTGTTCATCAGCAGGTTTTATGTGACGGCTGCCGGAGCGTCCAGCTGCAGGAACAGCTGGGAGCTTTTCTCAGAAACACACAGAGCGGAGCGATGTGAGCTGGATCTCCGCTCTGCCAACAAATCTCTCCTGGAGGTCCACTTCAGATTAAAAGACTTCCTGTTTCACTCCGACATGACGCACGGCTCGTTCTGAAAGCAGCGAGGAAATTAAACGAGCAGAGAGAGGGAGCATCGATCCCACGACTCTTATGAAATATTGATGAGGATTTCTGTCCGTCTGTCGGCCTCGGATCCTCAGCAAACAAACAAATAAACAAATAAACAAACAAACAAATAAACAAATAAAAACATCTGAACTGATCACAAACAGCCTGAATCACTGTTTGAAGCTGATTTGTTTCAGCTGCTGGAAATTAAAACAAACAAGTTGATTCTTTTTATAAATGAAAAGAACAATAATTAGATGTAATCTGAGAGATTAATGTAACAATCTGAGAGATTAATGTAACAATCTGAGAGATTAATGTAATAATCTGAGAGATTAATGTAATAATCTGAGAGATTAATGTAACAATCTGAGAGATTAATGTAATAATCTGAGAGATTAATGTAACAATCTGAGAGCAAACAGCTGACTGAGCTGCAGGTAAAAGTTTCTCACCTATTCTGATGAAGCCATCGTCGGTCCGATGGTACTTTGGTGTTTTGTCTCTTCCTTCAGTCAGAGCCTCCTTTTCTGCCTGGATGTTCTGAAAAACAACCAGATCTACGGGTCAGAACCAGAACTCTTTATTTTAAACTTTAACCTCTTAAGCCCCAGGGGCTTTTCTTAAAGTTTTTTCTCATAATCCCATGTTGAAATGTATCTGAGTGAATCTCAGGATTTATAAGTTTTAAAACAGCTGCTGTGGTTTTACAGATATTGAAGATGAAACAAAAAGTTTTTATTGTTTTTCCCTCCAGTCTGAATAATGTTTTCATTAGACAGTATTTGTGACCCATCACATCAAAACCAGGATTAAGTCAAATTTGGTCAAAATAACCTCTAATCATATTTTCTGATTCCTGCTTTAAAAGCTACATTTTGATACTTGGATCATCCTGATATCATTAGTGGATCCAGAGAAATTATTTCATTTGTCTTGTAGGTTAAATTAATACAAAAATATTTGCTCTAAATCCTAATTATGTCATTTTAATGAGGATTTTCTATGTCATTTGTAAAAAGAAACCTCAAATTGTATTTGAA